TGACAAAAGTATTTTCATCCCTTTCTCGCTCATATGGCCAAACCTTTAGTGCCATAGGTTTGATTTTCCATCAGCATCTGCTGCAGCAATGATATTTTCTAAGTTTGAGGTTACATAGAGAGTATCAGTCTTCTTACCACGAGCAATGATGAGTGCTCCTTTTGTAATCTTCCATTAACAGCCTGAAAAAGTTGTATTATAACCTTCTCTATCAAGCTGTCCTACAGAAATCAGATTTCTTTTGAGGCTAGGAATATGTCTCACTCCTGTCAGCTTCCAGGTGGTCTGGTTTGGCAACTTTAGTCGGATGTCTCCTTTTCCGACGATCTTCAAGGTTTCATCATCAGCTAGATGAATCTTCCCAAAATCACCACTGACATAGTTCTCCATGATTTCTTAGCATGGGGTAGAGTGGAAAGATGCCCCTGAATCTAAGATCCATGATTCAATCGGACTATTGACGCTTAGAATCATGGCATCACCTATCTCCTCTTTCACGTTAGCAGATTCATGTGCGCCGGTATTTTTCTTCAGTGCTCGGTAATCTCTTTTAAAGTGACCCTTCTTGCCACAATTATAACAGGTAAAATCTTTCTTTCCCGTTCTGGATTTGGATCTGCCACGATTTGAATTTCTTTCTGAAGTTCTCCCTCTAGACTCCGTGTGCAAGGCTGAGGAGGTTGATGCTTCACCCGATTCTCTCCGTCGAATTTCTTCGCTCAGTATCAGATCCCGAACATCGTCGAATTTTAATTTGTTGTTTCCCGACGAACTGCTGACTGCTGTAACAGTAGCATTCTAACTGTCTGGTAAAGATGATAAAAGAATTAAAGCTCGAACTTCATCATCGAATTCAATTTTCACTGAACTCATCTGAGTTGTAATTGTGTTGAGTTCATTTAAGTGTTGTGCCACCGATGCCCCTTCCGTAATCCGCAAATTGAATAATCGCCTCATCAAATGAACTTTGTTTGAGGCCGATGACTTCTCATACATACTGGAGAGAGCCACCATAAGACCCGCCGTGGTCTTTTCCTTTGCTATGTTGAAAGCAACATTGCGGGATAACGTCAGTCGGATAACTCCGAGGGCTTGTATGTCGAGAAGAGTCCAGTCTTCATTCTTCATGCCCTCTGGTTGCTTTCCTGAGAGGGGTTGATATAGATTTTTCTGGTACAGAAAATCTTCGATCTGCATTTTCCAAAAGCCAAAGTCCGCACCATCGAACTTTTCAATTTTCACCTTCCCTTCGTCTGCAACCATCGCTCTCACTCGAATATGGCTTCGTTTGGATCGTTTCTGACAATTCTTGCGAACCACCGTGTATTAGAACACCTCTGTCGATAAATTCGTATCGTCGACAAAATGTTTACTATTCACGAAATTCACTATTCACGTGAATAATAATGAATAGTAACATCGCAAAAATTGACAAAATTCACAATCAAAAGCTCTGATTACCAGTTGTTAGGAAATAAACCGAGTACGAGTAATTTCCCTATAACCAGATTAGTGAGAATGCGAAATAAAAGCGGAAAAATAATACCCGAAATTAATAACGGAGTTCAGCAAATTTTGTTTACGTCTCCGGGCTGCTGCAGATCTTTTACTAAGAGAGAAAATTTACAGGTGTTTACAAAACACTCACTACTCACAAGAAAACTCTCTAGTATAGGAAGAAAGAAATGTTTTGGAATGATTTTGAAGCTAAATGAGCTAGGGTATTTATAGTTGAAACTTAGGGACTAATCTTTGAAAATACCCTAAAGTTCAATGACTCAATTTTGTAATTATCCTTATTACAAAATAATAAAAAACCAGCCTTTTAGAAGCCCCTAGCAACCCCTTAGCAGCCCCCTTGTTGACCATAATAACAGCCGACGGCTGTTAATATGTTTAACACCCTATATATCAAAGACAGAAGCAGAAAACATGTTAAACTCAAATGTATGACTATGGCAAAATGCCATGCATTTGAAAACCAAAGGTCTAGAAACAAAGAGGTAAGATGCACATCAACCTCCATAAATGTATGACTATGGCAATAAGCGTTCCACTCAACCCACTATGACATTTATTATTTAATGTAGGTAAATTGTCGTAATTGGTTACGGAATTAAATTGGCATTAAAGGACTTTCAAAATAATTATTATGCAGACATGCTATAAATTTTTAAATTTTGATTCTAGAGATGGTTTTCTTGTCATAATTTAACTGCAACTCTAAAAGAAACCCCAATAATTTCACTCCCTGTAATTACAATCCATACATTAAGCAGAGAAGAATGGAAATCTGCAGACAATTCAACATATAACTCACAACATGCATTATTCATCCAAAACTTTTAACACTCATCAATCTTTATGTTTTAAGCAAACTTAACAAAATTCCCACCAAAATTATAAAGAAAAAAAAGATTAAATGTTTAAACAAGTGCATCAATTCAACAAGCAAAAACAAAGGTGCAAGAGAAGATAAGGAGGAAAGAACCTGTTGTTTATCACCAAGAGAAGTTGTGAGGTAAGAGACAGTCCAATCATAGAAGATATAAGGGTCACCTGCCAAAGAACCACACACCAAACATCCCAGAACAAAGAAGAAGAAGAAAGAAACCTGAAACCCATGAACCATTGGGGCTCTAACTCCAAAAAGAATAAAAAAATAGAAGTTTTTAGGGTATCTTATCTTCTTTGCAGTAAAGACAAATATGGGTTCTTTCTCTTCCTGGGAGTTGAGGAGCTGTAATAATACAAGGGTTAACCGAATTTCTTAAGCTTTTGTCACAAGGGAAAGTGGCAATGGCAATGGCAATGGCAGGAGGCCATGTTTAGAATTGGAGACAGCTCGGTGGCGCTTGTGGCCCAATTACTTCTTTTCTGGTTCTGGGTCCCATTCTTTTTTTCATTTGTCTAATAATTAGACAAGTGACTCACCATGAACTAGTCCTGCTACAAATCATAGAATATGGATTATTGATTCATGACAAAAGATGGAGATTTGATCAATGTCCTTAACTACATAGTAATTTCAAGATAAAGCGGCAAAAAGGAAAAAGGTTGGGATTCCAAATTCTTTTAACCGACAGATTAGGGAGCTTTTCCATGGCAGTTTGATCTTCGAGTTGAAATAGTTATGAATCAGGAGGATTCATTTGCATACAGTAATGTAAGTTTGTTGTCATGTAGAGTGTGCAATGAGAAAAGTACTCAAGAAATGAGGAAGTTTTAATTAAATAAATTATTTATGATTTTGAATGATATGAAAATTTAAGATGAAGAAGGTAATTTTTCAAAAATATTGATCAAGTGTGAAGGTTTTAATCAAAATAAATTATTGATGGATTAGTGTGACGTGAAATTAAATCTTTCAAGTAAAATTAGATGTTTAAATCTTAATATTTGTAAATGAAATAAATTGAATTAAAAAGATCATCAGCATATTAAATCTCGCAACATTGATCCAAATTAATTAATATATAAAATTTTAGATCTAATCCAAAATTTCATTACAAGTCGATTTATATTTTAAATTTAAAAAAAAATTCTAATCCAAAATAAGTTATCCAACCCCTATTATATTTGTATCACTTTTCCTTTTCCACGATTGATTGATACGTTGTAAGTTCCTCCAATTTTTTTTTATCAAATTTGATAGTAAATCTCCTCTTCCGAAAATTAATTATAAAATTCTAAAAATATTATTTTTAAAAATGATAAAAATATGATAAAAATAATGTTTATCTAACAAAATTAAGTTTTTACATTTGGTTATGTTTAATGTATGAATTGAAGATATAAAACCTGTGACGGACAGGTTGAGTTCATTTCAACATTATAACAAGACAAAGGAACAAGATAGGATACCATAAAAATGTTGTCCAAAAACCTGGGTTTATATGCTGTCATGCTCATCACGAAGCATCACCATTTTATAATTTTGAAACAAATATTTATTTGCATTGAAGGAGATTTATTTATTTATTTACTTGCATTTGGCTCAGTAGAATGAATAATTATGCAGTAATATGTTCGAGTGACATTTATAATTTAAAAGCAAAAATATGTATGTACAGTGCTTCCCAGTGTTACAACAGTGTTTAGTTTTGCCTTAACAATTCATGAATATTAGGTTCATTAATAATTAGTTTTAAATCTATCTGCAAATTTTAAAATAAATAATACTAACCCTAAAATTTATTTTGCATAATATATCCTTTTTAATCTTAAATCTTAAAATTTAAAATCTTACAACCTAAGCACGAATCAACTTACAACTTCAAGGGTAATTGAACATCCATATCACCCACCACCATTTCAATGCCAGTTTCATAATCCGGCTCGAATCACTCACCACTTCAACCTGCATCATTGTACGACCGCCATAATCACTTCTCTAACCTAATTTGGCCTTTACTTTCACCACTGCTCATCCTCCTTATTTTATTGTCTTAATTGCGATAATAGTACAAACTAAAATTCAAAACATAATACAAAATATACGTTTTATGTGTTATTTCTTTGTTTGATAGTAGAAGCTAATTTATGTTTATGTATGGCTTGCAATTTTAATATTTTTGTAAGTGAAAGACAACAGAGTTTGTAGTTAGAATATGAATTAATTTTGCATTTAGATCCCATAAAATTTTAAACATTTCATATAGAAATTCATTCAATATTTATTATATGTTTTGAGAGGGATTCATTTGCTTGACTTCAAAAAAAAACCCTAAAAACTGTTAAAACCAAAATATTTAAACAAATTGATTATAAATTTGGCGTTTTAGACAAAAATATTTGCTTTTCAAAAGTACAATATTAAAATGTTCTTTTTAATAATATAGGAACTAAAATGAACTTGTAGGTATAATACAAGGACTTGAATAGAATTGAACCGTTATATTATATGAGGCAATGATATGATGTATGAAATAACAAGGTCTACAGCAGCCTGTTACCAATAATTGATCATTCTCCTGATCCTCTCTGTACTCAAGCTGGCAACTCTGTCTCCTTCTACATCTCTACCTTTCTTCTTATCCCAATTCCTACCCCTAAATTTCTCTTCTAAAAGCTTCTCATGCTCCAACACTAAAACTCCCCCACCAAAAATGGTTCCTTCGGATTTTTCAACCATGTTTCTTCACTTCGTTTTCTTCGTCATGGTTGTCAATGGCGAGCAGGATACTATTTACGGGATCCTAAAAGCCCATGGACTGCCCAAGGGACTTCTTCCCAAAGGAATAACCCGTTTCGACTTTGACGATACGGGTCGGTTCGAGGTTCATTTGGATCAGCCCTGCAAGACCAAGTTCGAAAGCGAGATGCATTACGATAGGAACGTGTCGGGGACTCTGAGTTACGGGCAGATCGGGGAGTTGTCGGGTATTTCTGCTCAAGAATTGTTTCTTTGGTTCCCGGTTAAAGGGATTCGGGTCGACTATCCAAACTCGGGTCTTATTTATTTTGACGTCGGTGTTGTTTTCAAGCAGTTCCCGTTGTCGTTGTTCGAATCGCCGAGGGATTGCTTGGCGGTTCAGCATTCTGAATCCGGTCATTCGATTGGAGATGTCGAGTTGTCATCTGATGCAATCTCCAAGGTTCAATTCTACTTCCATTACTCTTAATTGATTAACACATTCTGAAATATAAGCTAATTGAATAGCTGTAATTTATTTATTTATTTTAATCAACCACTTGTAGAATCGATATGAACATGGTGAAGAAATTTTTGGGAGAAACGAAATGTAGAAAGGCGGGCAAAGGAAGTGGTGCAATAGCTCAATCAGTTTTGCAATCAAATCAGTGGTATTTTGGGGTATGTCCCCCACAGGTTGTAAATTTGCACGCTTCCATCATGTGTGCTCTGCTTGTGTTTTCTTTCTTTATTCTATATAGTGCAGTCATCGGCCATTGAGGAAGAATGGAAGATTTGGGAAGCTATATTTAAGATGATTGTCATGGTTGGTTTGCCATATGGAAAGATAAAATTGCGATGGGAATGGCGATTTCAGGTGATAAAAATCCGGCAAAATTTTATTTATATGTTAGTTTGTTCATTGTGTTATTCATATGGTTGTTAAATTGAGTCTCTTTTTGTTGGAGTAGAGAAGCTTTAGTTTGATGAGACAGATAAGAACACATCGATCAATGTTCAATAATAAAACTGTATTGGTTCACTTCATTACCTGTGTGTTTGAATATTGTGTTTCAGTTGCTTTATGGATCTTCCTGTACATTGCATACCATGAGTTCCATGAGTGAAATGGATGGGGGAAAAAAGAACTCTAAGGGACTTACGCTTCCATTTTTATGGTCAGGTCTAAACCTCGAGCGGATGGGGTTTCATTATCACAGTTTGAACTGGGGTTTGTGACTGTGTTGTGATGATCATGGGAGTATATCTCTCCCAAGGATTTTCGAATTAACACTCGCGTTTGAGTTTTATGGTTTTTTCCCGTTTATTTACTTCAGCTTAGGGAATATTTGTTTGCCAAATTGGTGAACTTTTGGGCATTAACAGACCGATGCTTATTATAGGCAAGTAATGAAATTAGGGAGATAATTTTGAAAATAGCATGTTGTAGCATCCAAGTTATTGGCTTTTGGAATGGTCAACACTGCATACACTTGATCGTCCTCGATGAACCATCCCCCCCCCCCCCAAGAATGTAAAAGAATGAAGATTGCCAAATATATGCTGTGAGCCAACACATTTTTTGGCTTGAGCAGCTTGTTGTGAAGTGTTGAAAAGAAACCGTGAATGTTTTGAATTGGCCAGCTCAGTGTATAAGATCATTGTGAAAAATTGGCGTGATATTGGTTGATTTCCTGTGTAAAATTTGTGGTTTGATGCTAGGCCTCATGTGCTCTATTGGGTGAGCCTTATCAGTAGGCCAATGGAGCATCATTTAACTTGTTTGGTTAGTGGAAATTTGTCCCTCCACTGCCCCACTTGTGTCAATATTAGATGTAGATTCTTCCTTTGCTGACTGACCCACTTTGAAATGGACACACCAAAAAGCTTGGTTTCTTTTTCATTTTCTGGGACATGAGGTTTTATGCACAACGCAAACCATTTGTCTTAGATTTAGATTCATATTTAATACACTCTGAGCAGCTTAACTATGTGATTTATCATAGAGAGGAAGAGTTGTTTAGGATTAAACTCGGAATTTAATGCCAACTAAAACTTCATTTCTATGTCACCGTATTGCAAGCTTAGTTAGAACTGTTAATACCAACTTTTTTCCCTCTTGAAAGTATAGCATCTCAGGTGAACATGCCATTTTATTTACAAGTCCAGTAAGTTAATTCGGATTTTTATTTTAAAAATCAATATTTTGTTTAAATTCAATTATGTGAATGTATTATATACGAGATATTTGTTGGACAGAACTTGACCAACAATCTTACGTGAATTACCCCGCTCCGTATCATCTACTTTTTTCACGTCTTACTTTTAAATTGTCTTATGCTTCAGAATCTACATAAATTTTCCAAATCTAATCTTCGTTTCATAATAATAATAACAATAACAATAAATAAATTCATGTCTATAACGAAGTGAATCTTACTTCACTAATCTATGCCTTTTTGGATAAATTACTCTTAAGATTATTAAACTGTTGGCTCAATTCCACTTTGACCACTGAACTAAATTTTTTTTATCAATAAACTAACTAAACGCTCAATTTAATTTCAATCAAATCATCGACCATTAACTATTAACAGAATTGCTAATAGACTTTCATTTTTTTTATTTTTTCAACTCAAATTTAGAATTGAATTTAAATCTGAATTTTCGATAATTACTTTAATACATATATTTAAAACTTAGGAGCTTGTTTAAAGTATTAAAATACTATAATTCGGTCCATTCATTAATTAAACTACCCGAGTTTAACTTAGATGACAAATAATATTTCTTTTTTTAAAAAAAATTAAATTAAATCCTAAAACCTCAGCCAAAAACCAGACGAGCGCTTGGGTATATAATTCAATACATTGAGAAGTGTATGTAATATGACAACCAGAAATCCAATTTGACGATATGGAGAGCTGGCATACACCACCAAGATATTAGGCACCTTTCCTCAATTTTTTTAATAAAATAACTTGTTCTCTTAAATCAGCTGACAAAAAATAGATTTGTTAAACATATAAATTATTAAAAATTGTAAAATTTATTAAAATATTAAAAAAATTATCTAAAAGGGAAAAAGTTTAAGAGCTAAAATGAATTTTCCTGGGACGAAAAATATCATTAAGCCTGCAGGAATTTAAGTAATTTGGTGCCCCTGGTGTCATGGTCACATTTGGATTCTTCAGGACTCATCAACTAATCCAGATCATAGCATTCATATTCTCCAAAGCAAGTTATTGTTCATTGATCATAAAACCTAATGCTTAACCCTGATTACAACTATAGGATTAGGCCAGCTATTCCATAAGAGAATTAATGTTTCACTAGCTCGAGTCCAAATGTATTTACCAGTTGCAGAAGTTCTAAAATTCGATATAATGGCATTAGTATCATTACGCACACACACCCTGCACATAGAGCTGCTCGAACCCAGATAATCTAGGGAGAACAATATTCTATTTTATCGTCGAGATCACTCAATAGGTTCATTATTGGCAAGTTACCTAGTCTAAAACCAGCAATTTTTTTATATTCAAATTTGCAAAACCATCAAATTATTATAAATTCCAATAACAGAAAATAAATTAACTGACCACCCAACGTCAGGTTGAGAGCAACTTCTGGGGAGACCTCCGACATTCAGAAATATAAATTATCCACCGTGAGACTCGATCCTACAACCATAAGTTTAAGAGCCTCTACAACCAAATATATATTCTCATGCTAAAAATGTTAAGAACAGTTATAATGCATTCCTCCATAAAAATTCATCAAAACAACACAAAAACAGGGTACTCTAAAAGCGGCCAAAATTTGTCTATGTATCTGCAGAATATCAAATTTATAGCATGACATAATCCAAGGACAAACGCATTCAATAATAATAATAAAGTAGGAAGCTAACAATGGAACTTGAATTATCCTCTCTTATTCACTTTCCTCGCGGCTTGAGCAATCAATAAATTCGGCTACTGCTACTGAGAATCGACCCCAGAGTCCCCAACACGGCAAAGGCCAGAAGTGGACTAACATCCAAGGTATCGAAAATGGGGGGAATTATATTCCTAAACAGATTCAAATATGGATCACAAAGATCCCTAATAGCCGAGAGGGGCTGCCGGTCCCAAGGAATGTTCGGAAACCAACTGAGCAAAACCCGGACCATCAAAACCCCGCTGTAAATATCGAGCCACTTAGCTAAACCCGCCGCCACCACCGTTAACGGCGTGTTGAGGTATCCACTAGGGCGGTCTTTTAAGGAAGCGAAGAAGAGCGGGCCCATGGGGAAAAGAGCGTTAGGGTTATGGTTGATTGTTTTGATGGAGACATTCTGGATCATTTTGGTCAAGATAATGGTGGCGGAGAGGGCCAAGGAGAAAAGGGTCTTAAGTGTTCGAGTTGAATCGTTGAATGGGGACTGAGTTTGGATTTGGGGGCTTTCGTTGGGTATTATCGTGGAAGGAGAAACGGAAGCTAGAGGTAAAAATATGGGGGTTTTGGTGTTGGGCTTTGGAGGTTTGATGGGGAGAGAAAAGGGAGGCAAGCTGGGTTTGGAGGAGGAGATTGGGGAATTAAAGTTTCGTGGGGGAAGGAGTACTGAAGGTCGAAGAATGAGAGCTTGACTGAGAAACATTTTTCTTTCCTTTTTTCTAGAGAAACAAACATAAAACAGAGAAGGATTAAAAGTTGAGGAAGGAAAGAGGATTGGAACTGGATGAAGGATATGTTAATGTTACCTACTTATTCCGAGTCGACTCTCGAGTTAGAAAGCATTTCCCGCCGACTCCGACCCGTACCCGTTAACCATTTTGCTATGGATGTAGAATTAACAACTTTGAGCTTTTTTAGGTTAATTTTCTTTTTCTTTTTCTTTTTCAACTTTCTTCAAGGATTTTAAATGATCAATAAATTAATATATTATGAATATTTGTTATTTTTAGCTATTTATTATGATTAAAATTTTACATTAAATAAAATTTTGATATATTTTATTATTACAATTTTTATATCTATTAAGATTAAAATTATTATGGTATCTAATTCTTAACTTTATAAATATAGAATTTAAAGAAATCATTATATAGAATTCATATTGAGAAAATAATACATATTTTTTCTTATTCTTATTTTTTTTCTCTTATTTTTATCGTTACTTTTTTTTCACTACACATTATCAATAGTATCATATTCAATAATAAATATATCAAAAGTCCACTTAAACTATAAACACACTAAAATAAATCTAAAAGTACAAAAATCTATGGTAAAGTATATAAATAATCCCTAAATTTTTAGGGTGCTTGCATTTTGGTTATCCAACTTTTGAAACTTATAATTTAGTCATCTAACTTTTAGGGGAGCTATCATTTTTGTAACCCAACTTTTAATCGTTTGTAGTAAGGTCCCTATCGTAACCCAACTTTTAATCGTTTGTAGTAAGGTTCCTATCGTAACCATTTGCTGGCGTGGCATTTAACTGTCGTTAACCCCTTCTTCTTCTTTGTTTTTTTCTTCTTCTCCAGTTCACCCCACCTCTGATCAGCGGTGGGTTACACTGCCATCACCATCGCCACCGACGTCGCCTCCCGACCACACCCCGATCCTCAATTCACACTCATTGTCCGCCGTTTGTCCTAAATCATGAGAAAATCATTCGAACACCCATCCCTAATCTCTATCGTCAGTCACCGATGATCGTCATTGCCAGTACTAGTACGAGCATCACCCCATTCCAACCAAAACCTCGCTAGCCACTCGTCGAGACTCACTTCTGTTCTCCGTGGAGAGGGCCCCAAATATCATCGAAAAGCCCCAAATCCCCTTTTATATTTGATCGATTTTCGGCTGATAGGGACATATATGTATCCTTTGGAACATTTACAAGGTCTTTTGAGACAGATTTGATCCATTGGAATATGTATATGGTTCTTAAGGAGTGGTCCTTCGGGACAAATACAATACATAGGTCCTTCGGGACAAATTTCATAGCCCCTAGTGTGACCCATACGAGCTGTGGTGACAGCATAGTGCACAACCTCAATGTACTCGAATACCTTGAGTTCTCAAAAATGTACATGGGCCTATAAAAGGTTATTAAAGGTAATTGCATTGTTATAGTTATATGTTATCATATTATTATTGTTTACATTGAATTGTATATGACATGATTGAATAGATAGATTGCATGTTCATATTCATACGGAATGCATTATTATTATATTTACATATCTCACTAAGTCTATGACTTAGCGTGTGAGTGATTTACATGTAGGTACCAAGAATCAGGAAGAGCGAAAATAGGATGGTAAGAACAACAACACTGCTAGAAGATCAGATCAGAAGTAACATATAAAGTATGTCTTTTGTCGTGTATAGTGTTGGCATGTAAGAAAAGTGTATGTTACGAATGCTCTGATTGATTTAGTATTTTGTGGTTTCTTTTATGTAAATTAAGGTATTTGGTTTTAATAAAGTTTAAAATTTCTCTGTTTTCTTTAAGTGTCAAAGTTTGAAAAGTTAATGTGACACATCGGACCCATATTCGGGTCGGATACGGGTTAGGGTGTTACAAGGTTTTTCTCCAACCATTTTAATGACCACCTCAAAATAATTTCTAACAAAATAAATTTATTATTAATAAAATTATATTTTTCTAAAGACTCAATCAATTATTTATTACACATTAATAAATAGTGATTTACATAACATCAAGTACTTGAATTCTTTAATTTATTTTGCATGTGATATCAACTATCATCTTTTGCAATAAAATTGACATTAAAATGTTTGTGTTTAATTTTTTTCTTATAAGATTGATTTTTTTTTACAAAATTCACTCGAAATTGATGAAAATTAATTTAAAAGTTTAACGTGCTAATGCTTAAATTTTCTGTGATAATTGTCTAATGAGACTAGTTTTGAGGTATGTTGTTCGTCTTCTTAAAATAATGCTTCTCACTGTTCAAATTTTGAATAAACACCCAAATCCCCTCAAATCAGACGAAATTCCAAACCCCTAAAAATATTGATTTTTTGTTTAATTTCATCAATTTTGAGTGAATCTCGTAAAAAATCAATTTTAAGAGAAGAAAGAGGAGTGAAACGCAAACTTTTTGGTACTGATCTATCATGAAAGATGAATGGTGAAAGGCGATGATTTGCTGTAAAAGGCGGTCAAAAAAGTGTAATGTCAAACAATGAACTATTTAAAAGCTTGGTGTCAAAATTGAAGCACTCCTAAAAGCAAATGTTATTAATTTATTAACTAAATAAGCAAATGTTGATATAAATTTTGGTACTACAAGCATTAGTTAAAAGCAATAGAAGAATTAATATATTATCACAATTCCATCTATACTTTACGAAATAGATTGTGATAAAAAAATCATTTACAATTAAAAAAATGGTAGTTTTTCAATTGAATTATACCCATTATATCTTAATAAGAAAATACGTGGAAATAAATTCCAAACATACAATCTTCATGCAGTGTAAGTATAGCTTTCTAACCCTAGCAAAGTCATCATAAAACCCTAAAGAACCAACAAACTAAACATCATAACATGTTTATTAAACCATGGGTGTTTTCACCAATGTTTTTGAAAGATGAAAAAGATCAAGAAGAGAACATTATCAGATCATCAATCACACATCTCCACAGTGCCATCACTGCCATTGTTGGTGGTGGTGGCGGTGTATTGCTTTGAAGCTGGGTACTTGATAGCATTGAGTTCAACTTTACGAAGAGCAGCTTTCCCCAGATCAATGCCACAGATATCAGATAGCCTCACCAGGTAAAGCAGAAAATCAGAAAGCTCCTAGCCCAGGTGAATTTTGTCATCTTCTTTCCAATCGGGCAACCCTTTCTGGACCTCACCTTTCCACTGAAATATCACAGACAGTTCCCCCACTTCACCAACCTATACATGAATAATCACTACCGGGATAGACAACTTTTTTTATGTTTAGGACAAAATCAGTCTATCTCTGACCACCGCTAACGTTGAATAAAAAGAACCATAAAATCGTATGAAGCAAGCATATAGATCAATACCAGGGCCAAGAGGAGATTCCTAGGGCTGTGGAACTGACCCCAATCCATTTCCTTGGCGAAATCAGCCATTTTCTGCTTAAGAAGATCGAGGCTCACGCTTCGATGATCCTCTTGGAGACGAAGGGATTGAATACTGTGTTAGGCTGTCTTTTTGAGCTAATTGGTAAATCATATATATGCTAAAGAATCAAGAGCTTTGATGGAACTGTTATCAGGCTGGTTCGTTGGCAAGTATAAAACATGATACGTCACAACGTCTCAAAATTTAAGGGTCCATATTTTGAAAAAAAGTTAATTTAGAAAAATTATTTTTTTCTTGGCAATATTTAACAAAAATACTTCTAATTTTCTCTCTTATTATCTCAACAATTCAATTGTAATCAATTTTTTTAAAATACTAAATTTATTATGTTTAATGGACAAAAAAAATATTATTTTTATCAATCTTAGTTTCAATCTTCTTAAATTTTAATATTTTACAATTTCGTCTTAATATAATATATTTTAGGGGTCTCATTCTAATAAAGTAACACAAGGCTCACATATTTACTTTAATAGATAAATAGAAATTAACCTACCATAAAATTACATTCCATTTATGGAATCCAACTAATAAAATTTCTTTCCAAATTTATGATTTCTTTTCCTCATGAATGAATGATTGTACAACCCAAATAATGTTAATAATATGTTATAGGTAGTATATGTTTAGAATTTATTTTAATTAAGTAGTAATGTATACATATCTTGTAAACGCAACTACTCAAACTCAGATCTTATAGGAATAATTTAAAAATGTTAAGACTTGTATATTTCTACATAATGTATTGGTAATAATGACAATCTAGCAAATTAAATCAGCATGTTAATAATATTTGATTTTTTATACCATGCTTACTTTAAATTCTTAAATCAAAGGATAATGTGATATTGAGTATGTCCGAATTCATATCTTTTTAAATGTTACAATATTAATCATATCAGTCAGATTAAAACATGGTGGACTGAAATAAAAAATATTAATATATTTAAAGTATTATAAATTTATATTTTTCTACAAACTAGTAATTTGGTTTACATATACACCGATACATTAAGGTATTTGGATATGTTAATGTTATCTTTTGCATTTGCAGTACGTTTTGACTAAATTTTTATGTATAAATTTATTTTAAATAATTTGTGTGTCTAAATTAAAGAAGAATTAATGTTTTAATAGAGTTTTTGTTTGTGATCCAAGGGATATTTTACATATTAGTTAAAGTAACTTAACGTTGACATGATGTATTCTTGTTCATATTTTGGAAGTAGTCAAAAATCAAAATTTTTTTACGGCGTGAAAATAAGAAAATATGTTCACAAGTTCGACTGTGAACAAAGTCGATTGCCTTTATTTTATTATTAGATTAGATGTGTATACGGCGTTTTGCGTTCCGTGTAGGGATCTGGCCACGGACTGAATATGAATTAAATGATATCAACTGTATGTCTTCTTGGTTGCCACAACACTTTGAACACAATTAGGTTTCAAAGATTTTGGAATTTTCTCTTCGACTTACATTTTTAATATCAAATTCAATAAATTTATGAGTAACGATGGGTCTAGAAATAAAAT